TATTTGCCAACTCCCATGCTTGAATCTTTAGCTATTGGAATTGTTGGAATATGCATAATTCAGTATTGTTTGTGTCCGTTTTTCTCTGAGTTGTTGTGTCTGAAGGAATTATTGGCCCCTTATTCTAAAATAATAACAGGAAATCATTGTTTTGAGAAGTGCGTTCAGATGAGAAAAAATTCCAAATAGTTGTAGAGTGATCAGATATGTAGAGTTTAAGAGGTGCAGCAAAGAGCTACATTCCAAGTTCAAAAGAGGAGCCTGAAACATCCAGTAAAACCTTACTAATACGTAGCAAGTTGTTCTTCTTTTCTTAATGCACTTGGAAAAATGGAACAATTTGCTGGATAGTTGTAGAAAAATTTTTTTTTTATGAAGTGACGTTTTGTAGAGAAGATCGATGTTTCATGTTCGATAAGAAAGTTAACATTATTTGCATTTCAGTGCTTCAGGCCATGCAATCCTAAACAATCGGTAGCATATTGAAAAAAAACATGAAAAGTAAACAAATACGAAATTTTTTTGATCTTTCCATTTTTCGCTCCTAGGTGAAAAGAAAAAAATGATAAGAGCTGCTTCAAAGAAATAAATGTAGACACGGTTCATTCACCTGGGCACATCCTTTATTTCACTTGAATATCATTTTCTAAGGAATTCCACATCTTCTTTGCAGTAACTGCAGGGTGAAGGAATTTGCGAATGTGTCGCTCCTTGATATAGTATTCAAATATCTCTTTTTGAATTTTTCTCAGAGCAAGTTAGCCATAGATGATGTACTAGATATAGCATAGATTAAAGCACAGTGGTGTGACACATCGCTTGCTAGTACAGTTACTCTACTAAGGTTCCACTGAATAGTTGTAAGCTTGGATCATTTAGAAGAAGTTTCGGATACTAAGAAAAATGGTATGGAATACAGTTAATCCGGCTATACAGGACGAGTTTCTTATCTCTACCTGCTTTTAGAAATACTTGAAAATAAATTTTGGTTCTTAAGAATACCTGCTCTACGTGTGCCGTATCCAATGACTGCTTCAGGTACTTGGCCGTCTCAAAGCCTTTGGAACAGCGAGCTCGAACTGCTCGTTTCGCTGCTGGATGGCTATGCGCTGCGATTGCTGCTGGAGCATTTGTGCTGAATCTTTTACCAGTTCCTTTCGAAAGACAGCTTGTCCCCTGTTTTGAAATAGTGGGAAGTCGCCTTCGCAATCACACCTTGTTGAAACCTTATGACGACAGCAACAGTCGCCTGTATAGATTTGGTACGTTATCTTTAAAATCACTTAGATTCGTAAACTGTCTGTGACTAACCAAGTATAAAATTTTTATTTCAGTCGTTCACTTCTTTCCGGATCTGATTTTTCGAGCTCCTCTTCCCATTATTTTCATTGGAACGTTAACGGTCAAAACCATTCATGCATGTAATCAACGGAGTGTTGGAAATGTGCATCTTACCGCACAAATAAACAGGAATATCCCATTGCGATTATACGTAAGTGACTGAATTAGACAAGGGCAATGGCTGTTCCTGCAACGAGTAAATACTTTGTTGTTATTACAGCTTCTTAACTTCAAATTCATC